TTTTCTTTCTTTCTTTTTTTAGTTGTCAATGAATTCTTCCCCCACCCCCATATGCATTACTGAGGATCAAACCCAGGACCTCACACATGCCAGGCAAGCGCTGTACCAATGAACCACAACTCTAGCCCCTGTTCTTCTTGACATAGAGTTTTGTCATATGCTGTTTTTCTATTAGAAAATACTTTCTACCCAGCCCATTTGTCATCTAGTGAAGAACTCTACTGGCCCTTTGAGCCTTGGTCTCTCCTGGGTCAGTTCTCATTTATGAGCTTTCTTAACCCATGTGCCCCGGCATCCCACTTAGCAGAGGCTGTTGACTATGATTCTTTGATACATGCCTGGTCCCACACACACACACACTAGACAATAAGCTCCATTAAAAAAGAAAAAGAAAAGAAAGAAACTTGGCTTTTTCCATTGTTACTATATCCCCAGAGTCTAGTGTAGTGCCTAGCAGATGCTCAATATATATTTGAGGAAGGAGTAAATCAGTTACTCGTTGGTTGTCTGGTTAATAAGCATGTAGTTCTATGCTGCACCTCTTAATACAGACAACCAAAAGGATGTGATTATCAAGACGCTTTCCCCAGAGTCCCACAGTCTCTATGAAGTGATAATTCACTGGCACTGTTGACTCAGGCACTTTTGCCCAGGACCTCAGCATCTCTGAAAGTGGTGGCGGAGCTATCCATTTTTCTTTTAAAATAACAAACAACTAAAGTCCCGTGGTTTGGTTCATGTCAGAGTTTATTAGAAATTTGGTGGTAGCTCAGCTTTAGCAGTCAGAAACTTCATTTCACGGTTTCTGTCATTGGCCTCAGGAGTCCTAGCTTCCTTTAGCTCCCTTCCAAGTCTAGTTTTAAAATTCTGAAAGCCTTCTCTGACCAGAGTTTTAATTTCCCTATCGAGTTCTTTCTGTGGCTAGGTTCTGTGAGATTGCTGTTCCTCTGGTTTCCCTGGCAAAGGTAGAGTTACAGGGTTTTTTCTAGTTTTCAGCATAAACAATTTATTATTCCCAAGTCTCAAGTGCTGTCCAGATACTCCAAGGGGTCCCCAGGTATCATTCCTGGCATCTCTTTCCTGTTCTTTACATGCTGTCTTGTGGGATGTTACTTATGCTCTGTATAAATGACATCAAGATGGTCTGTGTCTCTTTCTACAGACCATTTTATAGTCCTTATAAGGTTGGTTGCCTGATTATAATTTCAGTACATTAATTTATATGATGATTTCTTAAAGTGAAAGCTGATGGGTAAAGTGGTTGACTTGACCTCTTCTAGAACCTCTTTCTGTCTTCCTAGAGGATCCCTGTGTATTCCCCAACCCCAGGGAGCTCAACCTTGAGACCCACATGGATTGTGGGCTCCTCAAAGCTGGTCTCTGATGGCCAGGTCCTCACATCACATCACTTAGGGAACTGGATTTCCTCAGCTTGCTTATTTCATCCTTTTCTGTAGAACATTCTTTTTCATAGATTCATCTTTCCATCACTACTTGGTTTAAATAAAATCTAAAGTCTCCCCTGTTAAGTTATACCTTTTTATACTCTGTTTTTATTTAGTCAGACTTTGGCAGGAAACCTTCCAAACTGAGCTCAGGGGAAAGTAACCATTGGCACACATTGCAGCCTGTGTTTTTGGCTCAGGATTATTTCTATTTTTATTTTGTTTGGTGTTTTTGTTAACATGCAGGGCAAAGATTAAGCACTTGCACTTATCTGGTAATGGTGAGAGGCCATTTGATGGCTTGCTATGGCTGGAGATGGCGCTTACCACTGTTAACCCCCTGCTGCCTTCAGGGGCATCAGATCAGGCTGTGAAATGTAGTTTTCACAGAAGGAGGCACTGCACTTGTGTTTGGAGAGAGGGAAAGGAGAAAGATAAATCCCACCCTTTGCTCAATTTCAAAAAAGGATAGTAGCTTAATTTATGGAGGTTGTTTTTTTGAAAAAACTTAACTTTATGTCATAATTTCTTAGCTGCCAAAAGATGTAATTCTGCCTCAGCTTCGCCTTGGCAACCTGCTTTTGGCACTCTGTGGAGCCCTGTCATTGCTCTGCATTATTTAAGCAGTAATCTTTAAGAAGGTGAGAAACTATTATTGCTTTTTAGCACAGTTGACATGATATTGGCGCAGAGCAGTACCTAGAGCTTCAAACATTTCTGATGGCCGTAAACCAACTTAAACACCTCCATGTAGAGGTCTCACTGCCATGAGGTCATAGCTTGCTACAGGGGAGAAAGAAGAAGATCAAATGTTGTTTAAAAGGTTTGGGTTTTTTTTTTTTCTTTCTTTCTTTCTTTTTAAGTATTCTTATTCCACCAAGATGTAGCTGTAGATTTTGGCCAGGATCCAGACAATCAAGATTTAGTGTTTTGACCAGCTGTGATCTAGTAATGTTCCTCAGAGGAAACATTTTGTAGGGAGGGAAAGACACATATCTGAGACTGTGTGAATTGTACTCCTTCCTAATACTTTACAGTATGAGACCTGCTTGTAGACAGATAAAACAAGCCCAAGTGAATCTGGAAGAGAATAGCAGGTGAAAGGAACTGTTTTTAAGTGAAAACCCATCCCGGCTTCAAGAACTCTCTTGATGTGGTCAATCTTTACATCTTTCTTTATTTCATTTTCCCCTAAGTTTCCACATTTACATCATTTTATGGCAGAATTTATTTCTGCTCATAATTGATGCTTATAATGCCTAACAGTATAACAAGTCCTATAAAGTTAAAGAAAAGAAAAGCCAAACAAACTTAATGTAGGCAAGCAGAGAAGGAAATGATACTAATCCACATGACCTAAAAATGATTCATCTGATTCTCACTCCTCCCTCAAACAGAAATAGAGATCAAATTTTGGTATTTTGGTGCCAAAAAAGAGAAAGGAACTAACATCTATTTGTAGTTAGACTGACTTGGTTAAATCACAGCTTACTACCTAGTAGCTTTGTAGCCTTGAACAAGTTACCTGATCTGTGCCCCAGTTTCTTTATCTGTGAAATGAGGATGACGTTTGTAGCCCTTCATAGATACATTGTGAAGATTAAATGAGACCAGGATAAAGCCTTAACATAGCACCCCATTCATGTTAGTTGCTATTGTTTTGTTATTAATAATTCATTGTTGCTTGTACTAAAAATTTTACTTGTGTATCTCATTCAATCCCTACTGCAATGGCTATTAGGTGGATATACTCATTTTACAGATGAGTAAACCGGTTTGGAGCAGTGGAGTGCTTCAGCAGTGTCCAGCACTTCACAGTGGTGGAGTGACATTTGGAGTTCTGCAGTGATGCATACTGGAGATGTGGAATCACATTTTGGTGTTTTCTTACCTTGTTTTCTCTCTCCTCATCTTCTCTCTATAAAAGGAGGCAGTAGCTTTAAGCAATAAAACCAAGAAGAAAAGAAGGAATGAAAAGAAGATGATAGGGCAAGGATAGAAGAGTAGAGGGAACTAGCCTCTACTATTTCCAGATTGGCATCATGGCTAGGTATTAGTTAGGCAAAGATAGAAAGTCTTCCTCTAACAATAATTCATTTATATCTTCCTTTCTCTCCCTCTCAAGCTAAATTCTTAAAGAAAAATGGTATATCAGGGATTTAGGGACAATTGGAATGTTTCTTAAAGGATTCTGGGTAATTCTTGTACTCCCTAAGCAGCTGGTAGATATCTGAATAGGGGCATTTGAGCATTTCTGCCTTATTCAAAGCCTTCCCCACTCCATGCTCCCAAGAAAAAAAGAATTTCCCACTCACATTGGACAGAACAAATCTGTTGAAAATTTTGGTACTTTTTCTGTAAAACTCTTATACTTGGCTGCTGGGTGCAGAGGCACAGACATATAATCCCAGCGGCTGGGAGGTTGAGACAGGAGGATCATGAGTTCAAAGCCAGCACTAGCATAAGCGAGGTGCTAAGCAACTCAGTGAGACCCTGTCTCTAAATAAAATACAAAATAGGGCTGGGGATGTGGCTTAGTTGTGGAATGCCCCTGAGTTCAATCCCCAGTACCCCCCCACAAAAAAAAAAAAAAAAAAACTTTTACACTTGGGCTGGAATTGTGGCTCAGTGGCAGAGCACTTGCCTGGCATGTGTGAGGCACTGGGTTCGATTTTCAGCACCACAGATAAATAAATAAATAAATAAATGTCCATTGACAACATATACAGATGTACTGAATCGGAGATGAGTTCTGCTCCTGCTTTAAGCAGCATGCTGTATGGGAGAGAACAGTAGTGGAAAGGAGGTCTGGGTTCTGGTCTTTCCTCTGCTGCTTATTCCTCTGTGCTCCCATATAAGCCCTGAATGTCTTTGAGCCACTTCTGTAAAATAAGGATAATGCTTTTGGAATTATGAAGCCCATGGAAGCTAATCATAATGACAGCAACTGCATTTCCAGCCACTACTGCCAGTGTATGTGCCAGGCATTCTGCCAAGGATTTTAAGTGCATTATTTAATCCTTACAAGGTCCAGTGATCTATTGTACAAAGAAGAAAACTGCCCCCAGTCATATAACTAATAAATGGTGAAGCTATAACTCCAGATGTATGGGATCGTAGTGACCAAACTGGCCAAGAATCCCGGTCTTCAAACAGCCTTTCTGCAGACCACTATTTCTAGATAGAACTGAAGAGATAAGGAAAGGTAACTGGCTGCAATAAAGAAGGACTAACAAAATAAGAAAGAAATTTATCACCTTAATTGAGAGCTCAGAGAAAACTTGAGTCAAAGAAGCCAAATTTAAACCAAACTGTCCTCCTTGACCTCTAAACTTCAAGCCACTTGGCTTCTCCCTCATTACACTATTATTTGTGACCCAAGGAAATTCTTTTTCACTTACAGCAAAAGGTTTATTATTAAAAAATTTAACAGTCACTGATACGGTTCAGTTGTTCAACACTCTGTGCCGTGTCTTGCTAAACTACAGCCTAGTAAATTTGCAATTACAATAATCTTTGGGTTGTTGTTTTTTAATAAATTCCTATTAATTGTAGCATTAACCCTGAGATATCATGTTTCCAGTTTGGACCTGAGCCAAGCTGGAAGAGCCATCATCTGGGGCAAGTGGCTGATGGGGAGAAAGGTGTATGGTGAACTGGTGGACTCAGGCCCATTGCTTAAATCTCAGGTTCTGCACCCCAAAGTCTAGAGCCTCAGGACACATGGGGCCCTTTGGTAGGAGTGGATGGCAAAGAAAAGCTGCCACCTTTTCTGCTACACCTTCTCCTCTACTCACATTTATGCTTTTGGCAGAGGGAGTTTATTTTTTGTCTCTGTAGCAGTGCTAGGGACTGAATCCAGGGCTTCACCCATGTTAAGCACATGTTCTACCACTGAGCTGCATTCCCAGCCCCTTGGGGGTTTTTTGTTGTTTTGGTTTTTTTTAAAGAGTAGAAACTCTTTTAAGTTTTTTATCACATCTTATATAATGTACTAATTTAATTTGATAAGTAAATTGTCAACAGCATTTAAAAATTGGTCATATAATTAGAAAGTCTATGAGCTTTGTTGATGAAATAATGATGAAGTAAGACTAGTCAAACAAGAAGAATCTTAAAGCCTAAGCGTTTTGTTTTGTTTTGTTTTTGTTTTTTCCTTTTTTTAAAATCTGTTATTGGCCTTCTTAACTGCTAGCTTTCTCTTTTTAGGCAATAATAGATAAAATTCTTTTTTAAAAAATTTAACTTGTGGGCTGGGGATGTGGCTCAAGCAGTAGCGCACTCGCCTGGCATGCGTGCGGCCCGGGTTCGATCCTCAGCACCACATACAAACAAGGATGTTGTGTCCGCCAAATACTAAAAAATAAATATTAAAATTCTCTCTCTCTCTACCTCTATCTCTCTCACTCTCTCTTTAAAAAAAAAATTAACTTGTGGGGCTAGGGTTGTGGCTCAGCAGTAGAGCACTCGCCTCATGCATGTGAGGCACTGGGTTCAATCCTCAGCACCACATATAAATAAAATAAAGGTATTGTGTCCACCTACAACTAAAGAAATATTTTTTTAAAAAAAAATTTAACTTGTACTAATGACTAATAAAGGGTCCTTCTCAAAAACCTCTTAAATATGAAAATCAGAATTGTTTCACTTAAAATATATGCATTGTTTTTACACAGAAATGCTTATAGCAATTTATTCTCTAATAATAAAAGTTTAGAAACATTCTAAATCTACAGTGAGAGAAGACAAAAAAAACCTTGGATCCTAAGAAACCAGTGTCACTGAAAACCCTCTGGACTCTGGACTGTGTCATCACTTAATAATACAGGTCCAGAATAATGGCCCACAATCATCAAGTCATCAAGAAAATGCCCATTTTGTTTAGTTCTTTTAAAATGTAAGACTTTATTTTAAAAAATAGTTAAGTTTTTCTCTCACATAGCTGAAAATCGAAAGAAAAAAATAAAATGTGATAAAATTTTAGGTATTATGTAGACTTTTTTGTTGTTTATCCAGAATACCTCATTTCCTCACCATTCATAAGAGAGAATGTTTTCTTGATAATTTTCCAATTTTTATCTGATACTGTTACCTGAGTTCTCATAAACATTCAAGGGAACAGAAGAACAATATCACAAAATTGGTATATAAGTCTCCACCTCTCAAGTTTTAGAATCCATCCACGAAGAGGGGTAGCATGGCAGCTTAGGGCTTGTGGGAAATCGAGAAGCCCTGTGTAATGGCGTTTGGCTTGTGTGCCATTTATTGGCACTTACTTAGAAAATATTAGTTGAGTTTGAATATAAAGTTCCCTGCTGGGACGCCGAGTCAGCATGGGCTCAAGGTCAGTTCCATTGTAGGTCTTCAGCTTTAAACAACCCACATGATCGCTACCTGCCTACCTTTCTCACAGGGCACATGTAAGGGTTCCAAGAGTAGCAGAGGACCTTCCACAGTGCTAGGAACATTAGCGATCTCATTCCCTTTCCTTTGTAGTTGGTGGTCCAGGTATCACACTTTATTACTTCTGTGGAATGCAGTGTTAAAGAAAGCTCTCTGGGAGGTGAAATCAGTGAAACTCTTTTCCTCTTGTGTCTTAGGCACTTCTAGGTGTGTCCAAGCTGGTTCCTGATGCTCTGCCTTTTTTCAGCCCACCAGGAGCCCAGCAGAGAAGCAGAGAGGATTCAAGGGGCTTGGGGGCAAGGGCAGGCAGAGGGAGCTATCAGGTTCTTCACTCTTCACAGCCTGGAGCACTTGAGGCCCTGGCCTCTAATCACGCCCCTGCACCCTCTGCTTGGATGTTGCAGGCTGGCCCAGCTGATGCTGCCAGCCTCCTGGGCTTGTCTGTACAGAGGAGACTCTCTGGGTGGTGCTGATGCTCTGTTTTGGTTTGATTACCTAGTCAACCAGCAAAATCGTTTAGAGAGGGACACTGTCAGCAAGTGGTAAAGCAAAAACAATAAAGCCGGCCACATGTGTAGCTTAACCAATTACTGTGAGTTTTGACAACATATTAACTGAAGACCTAGATTAAGCTGGATTTTGATTAGTTTTTTTCTGTATTTCTTGGGAACTAAAAACGGTAATTTACTGATCTTCTTGCCCAGTTTAATAAGTACCCCAGTGACCACCCCTAATTATGAAATCTCTCCTGGCACCCCACACTTAGAGTGAAGCAAGAAGGTCTCACAGGCCTGTGGTTACAAACCTCATGGTCACCTTTTCTCAAGGCTGCTTGAGTGTCTGAGGCCACAGGATTAATCCAGCATGAGAACACCTGAGAGAAGGGGGAGCAGAGAGCTCCTTTGGAGCTTGGGCTATAGACACAGGTAGAGGGACCCTAGATCCCTTCTTCTTTGTTAGTGCACTTACAGAAATTGTAATTTGAAAATGTATTACTTGAATAATTATGGATGTTATTCTCCTGCAAGACTGGAAGTTTCTTACAGTCAGAGCCTGCTGATGTGCATCCGTCTCCCTCCGCAAGGCCTAGTGCACATAGTAACTAGTTGTCAAATGTCTATGATTTCAAGTCCTGCCTCTGCTCCTGCCTAGTGCTACCCTTTTACCAACCACTTAACTATTCTGTGTATATTTCCTCGTCTGAAGAATACATGTCAAGTGGTTCTTGTGATCATGCCTCTCTCTGCCTCTCAACCCAGTCTGTGGATTTAGTTATATTAAAGCCAATTTCATTCACATATAGTAATATCTAGAACTGTTATCAATATTCTGGCAGGGGCTTAACTAACATAGTATATAATACAACCATCATTTCCAGGGTCTGGATAGTCTATTGCCATTAACTGATTATTATTTATTATTTCAGACTCAAGTATAATAATGCCTACCCTGCTTTCTTGACAGGGTTTTTACAAGGACTAAGCAAAATGATGTATGTGAAATTACTTCAGAAACTATAAAGCTTTGTATAGCTCAACAGTGATTATTATTGCTGGCTCAAAGATATCTTCCTGAGAAGTAATTCAGGCTCAAACGAAGGCACTGAAGACTGAGGACTGTAAAACATGTGTGTGGCTAGCCTTGTAAAGGAGAAGTCATCTCCCAAGTTAATTTTTCATTAAAAAGAAAGAAAGAAAAAGTCCCCTTGATGTTCTCTGCCAGTTCTTTAATGCAGAGTGGTTAGCATTTGGGTATTGGAAAGGCTGTTAATTGTCAAGTCTCGAGTCCCAGGTTTTAGTCTACTCTGTCAACTGCCTTCCTGAGTTATCAAGGGCAAGTCCTTTATCTTCTCTGCCAGATGAGGATGACTGTTCCATGAAGATAAACTAAGGATTGAATATTAAAAACAAGATATTCAGTGCCCTTCAGACATCTGTGGCATCAACTGCATCCTTCATGTGTTTTCTTTCCAGATCCAGTCAGCCAGCTCCTTCGACTGCGTCCTGGGTGTTCTAGCCCCATTCCTTCCTGGGCACTCTTCTCTTAAATATAGTGAATGTGTCTATATCCTTGAAGTTTCCCAAGGCTGGATCCAGCATTCTTCATGCTGTTTCTTGCATTGGGACAATATAAGTACTGTCTTAAGATTGATTATTATCTAGTTTTATTATCTCAAACCTAAAATATGCCGTTTCCTGTCCCTGGACCCAGAAGGCTTAAGCTGAGTGCTGAAGTAGAAAGTAACTTCTCATTTTTGTTTGTCTTCTAGTGACAGACATCACACCTCCAGCGCAATCCCTGTTCCAAAGAGACAAAGCTCCATATTTGGGGGTGCAGATGTAGGCTTCTCAGGGGGGATCCCTTCACCAGACAAAGGACATCGAAAACGGGCCAACTCAGAGAATGAGAGACTCCAGTACAAAACCCCTCCTCCCAGTTACAACTCAGCGTTAGCACAGCCTGTGACCACCATCCCTTCTGTGGGAGAGTCTGAGAGAAAGACAGCATCTCTGTCGTCCTCCTTGGACACCTCCTTGGACTTCTCCAAAGAAAACCAGAAAAAAGGAATAGATTTTCATGACAGCTTAAATGAAGACCATGTGAGTGTGACCACTAACCAGGATCGAGGAATAGCCACCTGTGGGCGTCCTACCACAGTAAATGGCACCCTGCTGCCCGGCGAGGCTGGCTCTGCCGGCGTCCAGCTTCCAGGTGAGTTCCACCCGGCCTCAGGAGCTGAGCTCTGCTGTACCGTGGAGCAGGCAGAAGAAATCATTGGGCTGGAAGCCACAGGTTTCACCTCAGGCGATCAGCTGGAAGCGTTTAACTGCATCCCAGTGGACAGTGCTGTGGCAGTAGAGTGTGACGAACAGGTCCTAGGAGAGTTCGAGGAGTTCTCCCGCAGGATCTATGCTCTCAATGAAAACGTATCCAGCTTCCGCCGGCCTCGCAGGAGTTCTGATAAGTGAAGTGAGCAGACAGACACCAGGACCAGGGCAGCATCCCTGCCCCAAATGGGAAAAGCTGCACTTACCCTTTTTAATAATTATGACACAAAGCAAATATTAATGGAGGATATTCCTCAGAGAAACAAACTTTGGGACTAGAGGAGGGACTCAGGATCATTGTATATCAATGGGCCAGGCGAAATTAGATTTTGCTTTCAGGATTTGCTTTTTAGCCCTGATGATTGTTTTAAGGCAAAAGTCACCCTCTAGTTGAACGAGCTTATAGCTCGAGTCACCTTATAGGCATTTGTCTGCTTTTCATTTACACATCTATGTAATCCTCAGAGGGAAGATGATAATATATAAGTAATATAATGAACTCACCTTTAGTTTCTCATGAGCATTTGCCCTCACCATAGTTTATAAAACTTTGGGGAAATGGAATATTCAGAAACAGCTTTCTACCATTTCTGAAGGATCTGTGGCCATCTTGTAGGTTGGTGAATAAGAAGTAGAGTGGTCTCCTTATTCCCAGGCCCCTTTGCCCATGTCCTGCCCCCAGACACCACACTCAATCTGTAGACTCCCCCACTGCCTCATCTTCACCATGGATGGGCCGTGTAGCCTGGGAACAGGTCAGGTTCACTGGTCTAAAACCCAGTAGTCTTGAGGTTCCATTTCTTCTAATCAGTCATGACCTTTCATCTCCTTTGCCACACCTTTGATTAACTTTCAAATTAGATGAGAAACTTCCTCTGAGGAACTCCCAGGGGAACCTGAAGGACCCCAAGATTACTGCAGTCAGATGGCATCCAGTTTTCTTTGACATGGGGGGAGGGGGCAAAGTTTTTATATGGGCAAGAACTAGGCGTGCATTCTGGCAGTACACCAGACAAAAATCCCTATATGTAAATCCCTTGTTAATTTATTAAATTCCAGTCAGAAGAAAGGCTTTGTAAATGACAAAATATATGTAGAGGGTCAGGCTGTCCAATATACAAACTGCAAAGCAGTTGAGATAGTTGGATTAAGTGATTAGAGAGCCATAGAGAATATTATTATTGGTATGTGTGCAATTTCATAAATATTAAATTATGTTTTGCAGTCCAATTGTCATTCCTGCATTCAAATTTCATTTGCTGTTGCTTTATACATTATGTACCCAAGGACATTGCCTCAGGGTTGCAAGCTCTTTAAGGAAAATTTATCCATATATCCATGTATTGTATAGAAAAATAAAAATTGAACTTACTTCACTCGACCTGATTTTTTTCCCCAGTTCTGAAATTCCTTTTAAATGTACGTCTCCTTATATTACATCATGACAAGACTAGCCTGAACAAGAGCCATAGCTGTCTCTAAGCTGACACTGTTGACTTCATTTGAGTTTACATTTTGTGTGTAGCAACACAGCATACTTCACAGGTATACTTTCCAATAGCTTCATTTGTCCTACATAGCAGCTTAACTCATAGGTCTCATTATGTTCACATTATGTCCAAGCATTCCTGGGCCTAGTTTTAATTCACAGCTACATTATTAAATGGACTACTTCATGTTGTTATTTTCCATGTAGAGAACTCACAGAATTAATTGTATAGCAGACAGATCCAGCTCTCATGCGATTTGATAAAGCTTGAATTTTATTAAGAAAGCCCATCTTGGGCCCAGGGTTGTGGCTCAGTGGTAGAGCACTTGCCTAGGATGCGTGAGGCACTGGGTTTAATCCCCGACACCACATAGAAATGAACAAATAAAATAAAAAGTATTGTGTCCATCTACAACTAAAAAAATATTTAAAAAAAAAAAAGAAAGAAAGAAAGCCCATCTTATCCCACATCAAGAGTGGGGCTACTTTAGAACTTGAGCAAAGGCCATCTGAGCAGGAACTTCTTTGCAGTGTGCTGTCATTCATGTTAAGAGTCAAAGAGGGTAGAGAGAGGCACCATCTTAGATAAGTGCATCATGCTATGGGGTTCTCCCATGAAGTAACATCTGCTAAGGGAAAAGCTGTTTGGAGATCAGTTTTAGTATTGAAGAGAGGAAGGTGAATCATGTCTGATTTATGATTTCTCCAGACGTGGGGCTGCTAACCTCACTAGGTGAGTTCAGTCATAGCCCCTGTGGTACCACACAGCTCGCCTCTGGCACCATCAAGCAGTAGGGCCACATACAGAGCCTCAGGACTACAGGGTTCATCTCAGATTCCACACAAACAGATAGAGCCTGGAGCTCTTCACTTTGTAGACAAGGTAGCGTGGAGCCCTGCCCTTGACTGTAATTGGATTGCACAGAACTGATCAGTAGTTGCCTATACTTTCACATGATCCATGCTGTCTACCGATGTATGCATCAAAACATCACTTAGGTTTGGATGTATTTAGTTTGGGCTTGGGGTTTTCATTTGAGATTGTTTGATGCCTGCACTTTCTGCCATGACCTGGGTAGAATCTACAGAATTACATGTCTCCAAGAATAATGGTTTGATATTTTCCCAAACTTAAGAATTCATTTTACCTCTGTTTAAAGTGGCTAAGGCCAAAAGACAAGATGATCTATCTCCTATTCATCTTTTTAATTACTCTTGTAAATCATTCAAAAAAGTAGAATTTGCTTGGAAGAGATAAGTTGAAATGGAAACTCATTATTACTTATTTCTGAACTGCTAAGAACCCCTTTGGTTTTCATATAGCTAAGATACTTTTAACAGCCAGCAAATGTTATCAAATGAATATTTGATTATGTTTTCTCTCTCCACTTCCCCTTAACCACTTTAGAAATTCCACAGATTTTTTTTCCCTCAGAATATTAGTTTTGGAAGATTGTATACCCAGCTATATTTTTTTAGCAGTTCTAATGGTGCCCATTTATCCTGACCTAACTGGTTATTTAAATAATTTTTTAAACCACCACCAATAATAAATGGCATGTGAAACTAATCTGTTGGTAATTGGAAAAAAACTGAGCGTCTGTATTTATAAAATAAAATTGATTAGTATTTATTTTGAGAGTTAAAAGTATATGTTATTTTCCTGCTATGTTTGAGTCCTGTCTTCATTGTTTTGAATTTCATATTGAAACTGGGTTAACTATTAAAATCTTGTTCTTTACACAGTCAGCCAACCATTTAGCATTTATTGAGTGCACCATGTGTGTGCGCGCACATACACACATACAGGGGACTGAGCTAAACAAAATTAATACAAATTAAGAAGCCTTGACCTCGGCCACATTCTCTTGTGGGGGGCACAGGTATATTAGCAATTACTTATAACTCCATATGATAAATTCTGTCATGGAGCTGTAGAACCTGGCTATGGAATGCAGAGAAAACTTAATTCTGGCTCAAAGAAAAGGGAAGACTCGTGGAAGTTATTTGGGTGAAAGATGTATAAAAGCGTACATTATAGAGGGGGGAGACAGAATGGGCAAAGTTCCCAGAGGCAGGGCAGGGCCACGTGTGTGTGTTTGGCAAACAGTAAGAGTTTGCTGCGTGAATTCAGTGGGCTACTATTAAGAAGTTTTGTGAGGTTTTCAAAGCAGAAGAGTAACTCAGATCCGAATTATGACTAGCAGCCCAGCCAAGGCTGGATTCCAGTGATCCTTGTTTGAGTCTGATTAATCTTTTTTTCTTTTTTATTTACTAAATAGATCTGTGTCTGGAAAAAAGTTCATCCCTGTGTCCCTCATGTTCTCGGGATACGCATAGAGTAGAGTTTGCTGGGTGGTACAGTGCAGTCAGTACCTGCTCTGTAGAAGCTGGATTCTGAATGCCCAGTGGCAACGGGCATGTCTCTGCAGCTCTGCAACTTTGAAGCTGTGACTCTCATGGAGTTATTGAGCATTTTAAGAACCCCCATTTCTTAATTTCTAAAACCTTGAGAACAACCCTGCCCTTTTCTGATTACATTAGTTTGGGGCCTGCACCATCATAGAGGCCCCTTCAGTACTGGCTTCCTTTTGTCATGTAGAGGCCACTTTACAGAGATAGTAAGGGTGCCTGAGGCTTCCTGATGGAGCTCAGGCATAGCCACTTAATCTCTCTGAATCTGGATCCTAATTTGTAAAGTAGGGCTAATACCCCAATCCTGTGAGGTGGTGAGAAGGAGCAACATTTTAATGACAGCATTTAAAGATTTTTACAAAGCACTGTGCACATTGGGAGGAGTTAGTCATTCAACAAGGATTCCTTGTGTGGGCTGCATTGGGCTTTGGTCAGGTCACTGAGGCACACACGGAGAATAGGTACCAGGGCTGACACTACTTTTCTGCAAAAGCTCTCAACAAATTGAAGTGTTTTGAGCTGTTTGATGGAGAGTGCTGTGGACATAGTGCCGAGATGTGGCCTATGCGCCTAATTAGCTTCATCCTCCTGTCTGCCGCCTGGCAGATGAGCTTGTGTGGGCCCACCTCATCAGTAAGTCTTTCTCACAGCTGTTGACTACTTCATTGCTGAATTGGTGCCCAGAGCTCTTGATTTTTTTTTTGAAGTTGATAGCTTTCTTGTTCTTTTTTTCCTCTTAGCATATCTAATTACTGTTTTGTAAGCAGACAGCTCAGCCTTGTGGATTTTAAATGAATAAAAAAAATTATGCCTATAAAATAATTCCGCACTTTTCTAGAAGCCAGCAATTCAGATAAAGAATGATCACGCATCTAAAGAAAAATGAAAAAGCCAGTTGATGAAATAGCTGCAATTGAGCTCAGGCACAGGAACATAAGGGGACAGTGGCAGGCTCACAGCCTTTGGTCTGCTGTGTGCACACCATTCTAATGAGCTCTCAGTCCTTGTTCAACTTGAGCAGCAAATTAGAAAAGCATGGAGGATTAGGGTGGGCAGAAATAGTGGATAACCTGACTGAGAAACTGCTAGGAGGCCTCAGGAAGGAAGCAGGTGTGGTGGAGGGAGATGCCCACAGGCCAGGAGGACAAGTCAGACCCCAGTCCCAGTCTGTTGCTCACTGGCTTTGTGACAGATAAGCCATTTATCTTCTCTGAGCCCATTGTCCCTCTGCAAAGTGACATCAGCCCTCGCTTAGGTTTTCCTTTGAGCCTGGACAGAGGTTCCTCTAGCCCTACAAGCAAATTTGTATTCATTCTTCAAAACCTGTCTCCGATTGCCTTGGAGTCCAGAACTTGGCAGGACAGGAGAGGGCTCTAACTTGTTGCTCTGCCTGTTTGTGAGGAATTGAGAGCTAAACCATTTGTTGGCAGGCTGCTTTTGACCAGAGGGTGTTGCAGAACCACTACCACCCTGCCATCTGCTCAAAATCCTAGACACAAGGACTTGTAAAATATGTAGCAAAAAGTAATAAAAGTAAACTTTTTTAAAAAGTCAGCTTGGCTGAGGTGGCTCAGTGGTAGAGATCCCAGCAACCCACCCCGCCTCACCAAATAAAATCCTAGCTTGCATGTGACTTCCTAAAGATAGACCCTAGTCAGCAGAAAAAAAGGTACATTAGATTTAGTTTGAAAGGAAAATACATAAAATAGTTTAAGACAGTGTATGATTCCAAATGATTAAAAGATGTTTTGATGCTTTCGGGGGTAGGCTTGTTCTTTCAAAAATTTACTTGAAAAAACTTTTTAAAAATTTATTTATAGCACCTTGGGAGGGTGAGAAAGGAGGATCGAAAGTTCAAAGCCAGCCTCAACAACTTAGCAAGGCCCTAAGCAATTTAGTGAGACCCTGTCTCAAAATAAAATATGTGGCTCATGGTTAAGTGCCCTGGGTTCAATCCCTGCTAATACCAAAAAATAAAAACAAGATACATAAATTGGGCGGAGAGAAGGAGAGGAGACCTTATTCCTCAAAGAATTTCCACAAATTAATTTTCACAAATTACTTGATCTTTGGGTCAGGGGCTCAGCCACACCTATTACAATGTGAGGTCCTCCCAGTCTACCTCATATGCAAGTGATATGTGACCCTTGGATCATGCAAGTTTGTCTCCAGAACTTGTAAGCTTCCAGGCCAGGCCCTTTGCTCCCACAAACCTGCCAGGCAACCTCTCTGCTCTTCTGCCTAAGCTTTCCCTTTAGTGGCACAAGGTGGGTGTATGTGTGTGTGTCAGGGTGTAGGGGAGTGTGGATGAGACAGAGCTTAGACCCCAAGTTGTGTAATTCACACTCATGTGTCTCTTGGTCTCCTGGAAGATCTGCAGAGGCCCAGTGTGCTCAGGGTCAGCATCAAAACTCATTCATGAAGAGGCAGAACTTTTGCAGAATCAAATAAGACTGTAGAACTGACTGTAAA